CTTCATAGAGTTCCTGGCACACAGTAAACCCTTAATAAATAGCGGCCATTTCCACCAGGAATGTAAGTCTGGTGTCTACTACACCATGCTGTGTCCTTAGATCAATTTTATACCACATTCATTTTAATTTCAACTTTAGCTGACTGTGTTAGGTGTGCACGCTTGGCCCAAAGCAGCCAATCCACAGGCAGGTCAGTGACCCACAACAGCCTACTGAATAGATCCTCTCCTTTCCAAGTCTGGTTTTTGTGGCATGGCCCATTCCCAGAATTTTGTTCTTTGCTAGGGCCCTGGGGCATGGAAAATCAAGAGTAAAATGAGAATAGCCTAAACTCTATGATGCTGCTAAATTATGTAAGACTTGCAAGCGTGCACATCCAAGGAATATACAGCCGTTAGAAAAGGGCAGTCACATGTGCACATAGAAGGAATAGCCTAATATTCCAAATTCTTTGGCTTTGAAAACTAACTAGAAGCCCATGGAGGCACTTCTAGTTTTTTTATATTATAGATGTTCCTTGAGTTGTACAAAATTGGATCTAAGCAAATTTGACTTTATGCATATTAACCTAAGGTACATGACAATATTTTAGCAATGCAGACTTCATGTGCTGTACAGAGATACAGAGCAGTCAGGCTGATGAACAAAAACCATGAGGTGAGAGAAGGCTGGAAGCATCGATCACAGCTGTCCTCCTGCTTCCAGTCTTGGCTGGCTTCCTTTGGTTGCTGCTTTAGGTCTGGCCTGGCCCTCAGGACTATGTTGGGTTGAACTCTTATATTGGGTTGTTGGAAAAGTCATGATGCATTTTTTGCAACGAAAAACAAAAAAAATATGTCATGATTTTTCTGACAACTCAATAGGCCTGACTAGCCCAATGAATAAGCACTGGACATCAGTGATCTCTAATAATCTGTCCATCTCTAAAATTCTATGATTCCACTTCTGTCCCTTAGTCTCCTCTATCCATAAAACACACCATTAAAGACCACCACTAAGAACTTTCCTTAGCAAAAGTATCCCACGATGGTGCTAAAATGTACATGATATCAGTTCCTATCTGGTTAGTAGTCACTAACATTCCTCATGACAAAAGTCTCCTTGTCAAGTCAGCTAAAACAGTGAATAAAGTAACTTGAGTCATATACTGATAATAATCATTCCTATCAAGTATTTGTGTTGGTTTCAATTGTGTTAAATTCAATAGTATTTCATGCTAATACAATAGTTTGTGAGTTTTGCTTAGACATAAAAAGAATAAGCAAGTACAACTCATAAATAAAATTGTGTGTACGACTGATTTACTTCCTTTTGAAAAACATTAACAGAAAACCTCAAACATATACACAAAAATAGAGAAACTAGTACAACAGATCCCCATGTAATCACCACCCAGCTTCAGCAATTCAAATTCAAGTACAATCTTGTCTCATCTACTCTGTAACCCATTTCCTTCCCCTAACCTCAGATTACTTTGAAGCAAATTTAAAACATCATACCATTTCACTATAAATAGATGATTTTTTAATAATGGTTCTTGGATTAGATCTCATGCTGGCAATAAAAGGAAAAATATTTGTATGGACTAATTCAAGAGGGGTGATTACCTATTTTCTCTTTCTCAAAACTTTTGCCAAGAGCAGAGAGGAGATGGGAGTAACAAGGTTGGAAAAGAGAACATATGTTCAAGAGAACACACAGTCCACTTCTAAATTAATATGGACCTATTTCTTAAAACAATAGGATACTGATGAGTTCTTTAAAAATACTAATTAAGGGGCCGGCCGAGTGGCGCGATGGTTAAGAACTGGCTTGGGACGCCAGAGGGCGCCGGTTCGGATCCCACATATGAGGGCCAGTGACACTGCCCTCTATAGCTAAGATGCTGAACAACAGCTCAACCTGGAGCTGGGTTGCCGTGAGTTGCCGTGAGTTGCCGGCGACGGCGTGAGCTGCAGCCCCTGTGGCAGTGGGTTGCCATGGGCTACTGTGTGTAGCCAGCAGCCAGCATGAGCGGCCAGCAGCCGCAGCGAGCGGCCGTTCAGAAGCCGGCGACTGATCTGCCTCACCCAGGAAGAGCGCAATGATGGTGCCAACTTGGGCCAGTGAAGCAACGTCCTCTACAACTAGACTGAAGAACAAAAAGACAGCAACTTGTCTGTTCCCCTTCCCCCAATTCCCCAGCACTGTTCCCATCCCCCCCAATTCCCCAATAAAAAAAAAGTCTTAAAAAAATACTAATTAAAACAGGCAAGATAATCTATAACCCCAATATTCTTTTTCTTTAATTTACTCAAATTCATGGTTAACTCTCAGACACAGCATCATCATAGCCCAGTCCTGCAAATACAAAATGGTTCAACATTTAAGATTTTCTGAACCCCAAACAGAGATTGTTTCTTAATGTCTGTGGTTGGTTTCTGCATGCACGTCATCAAAAAAAGTACATAAGCAGGTGGCTTTTAAGCTTTTTCCCACTTACAAGCCAAAGTTATTCAGAGTAACTAATTCAAAAGCCAAGGCAATGGGAAATGTTAAAGGCAGAGTGGAAAGAGTCTTGATCTAGAAAGTTGGATCAACCAAGAAAACAATTTAGCTACAGCCTATTAACTGCAGCGGGTAAAATATATATATATTTTTTTAAGGGGCGAAAGAAAACATGTCTTCTGTATTCTGTCTTTAAGTGGTTTAGATACTTCAAAAATCAAATTCAAATTTAATTAGAATGACACATTTAACAAATGCCAATTCAAGTTCTTGTAATTTCTTCCCTCCTCTGCAAAAATGTACAGGGAAAAGAATGAGTTTCAATTTCATTTGTACATAAAATTCTAAATGTCTTATTTATGCTTCTGGAGAAAGCATCATTTAAAAATATCACTGTAATTGATGCTAGCACTGTTTTTTGTGGGGGTTTTTGTGAATTCTTCAGATTGTGTAGCATTAAGAAAGTTTTAACATTGCTCATGCTTTATTATTTTTTTAACTATTAAAATTTATAGATTTAAGAAGTTTTCAAGCTTGTCAAAATACTATGAAAATATGTACCACCTCATAATGTTACAATAACAAGAAGTAACAAGTAAACAGGGCAGGTTCAAGGCAGAAATGGGAAGCAGAAAATAACTAGGACATTTCCTAGCCTTCTCATGATAATGCTTTTCTCTCGCTGTAACTTACCTGCTTTGAGTGGCACTCTTTCCTCCAGATACCCAAGATCCCTGTGTTCCCTCTTTTAAAAATGTGCTCTCGGAAAAACAAAATGTGAAATTCATATACACTAACTAATTAACCTGGAGTTTTGCTTTTTTGGGGTTATTTGCATCTTAATCTTAAACTTCAGGAGATAACAAGAGTGGAGCTTTTAACATCAACTAGCAGGTAGGAGTGATTTCACTGGTGCCTTTGAAATCTCATGTTGAATATAGTCTCATTCAACCTATGGATGAGGTTATCACTGAAGACACACAAATATACATAAAGTAAACCTACCAATTAGAGTTGAATCAGTAAGATTTAATTTTATCATTTAATTCTTTTCAGCAGGGACACTTTCAACAATAAAACTACCTCCAAACTGGAAATTATATATATCTTACCAACAACAGGATCACTATGTTTTATCTGCAAAAGTCACTCAAGAAAAGAATGCCAAGTGTGAGAAAAGACCACAGCTTTGAAATCCAAAATGTTCTGTAATAAACTGGGAAGAGGTTGTACCAGACAGAGTTGTAAAAGCTGGTTTTGTTCTTCACAACTGATGTTTTCTTAAAAACTATTATTAATTCCACTGCCAGTAACTGCAATAATGCTACATAAATGCACCTGGTCGACTCTCTGAATTTATTTCATTAGGAAGCACTATAAAGAATGATAAAAGTAAGAGAGGGAAATCACGCACAGAACAGTTTGTAAATAATCAGAAGTTATACAACTTCCTCAATCTTAATTTTAAAAATCTGAACTCACTCAAGCAAATCGTTTTCTGAAATTCAGCCACTGGAATTATGCTAAAAATAGAAAATTTGGCTAACCTGCTTTCCTCAAAATTTTAGCATTTCTATCTTTATATGTACATTGAAAAAAACTGAACTGTAACGAAGTCAAATAACTGCTTTTGAGTTACAAACAACCAGGCATGGAATCAACACAATTAATAGTCACAAAATGGCTAAGATATGTTTGCACATTGTGACAAATACCATGTGACAAACACAATGGCTCTCCAAAAGCCGTTCACATCTCCTTTCTCTCTTGCTCTTCTCTCCTGTAGATAAAGTGGAAAAAGTAGAAAGAAAAAAAGTACTCGGATTTCAAACACCCGCCATTAAGGATGGCCATGGAACACAGTTCTGGCCAGGGAGGGCTGTACTTCGTAAATAAAAAGCTAAAGACTTGCTAGGAGAAAGCCCCTTTGCCTCTTTCTCCTTCTTCCTCCCTGAATGTGGAAGATAGGACCAGAGATGTTATAGTTCCCTCAACCACCAGACGATAAACATAAACACACAGGTCCATGTGGCAGACCATGTGGAAGTGAACGGAGCCAGGGGCCCTGAGCCACCTTACCAGGTCTGGATTGCCCACCTCTGGACTTCTTATTGTGTAAGATACATAAAGCTTATCAGATTAAGCTATCTATATTATATAGTAGGGTTTTCCATTAGTGCAGCTGAATATTCCTGTAGCGGATACAAATATAAATTCTCACATAAAAATCAAATTAAGAGTTATAAAAAAAATGTTCACCAACCCTGCAAATATTCTAAAAAGAACCTCTACAGTAAGCTTATAGTTTTGTTTTCTTTGAAGCTGACAAATACCATATAACCAGTACAAAAGAAGGGGGGGAGGGGTGTTTGCTGGCTGTGAAACTGCAGGTTCCAATGCCAAACAAAAGTGAGATACGGCTGGAGGAGGCAGAAGGGCATGAGTGTAACGCCGGACAGTTACGGTCTTGCACAGGCCTTACCTAATGTTGCCTATATGTCAATTTCAACCGTTCAGTTAAAAAAAATAAAGTTTATTTCTGGGGCAGAGGGAATTACAATTCAGTTTTTAAGTCTGAACCTTTAAACTTGGGAAGCTTTCTTCCAGGTCACCAGCAAGGGTCTTATCAACTTCATGTAGGATTTTGAGAAAGTCTTCCACCTGTAAGTCAAACCAAAGAACCAAATAAACATAGAGGAAAACGTGGTTCAAGATACTGACTGTTGACTATAAAAATGCTCTACCTGTGGTTTCTAAATAGTCCAACAGAAAAGAAATGTTGACAGATCCCCAGAGGACCATAAGAGCACTTCCTAAACAGTCCTCTGAAACATCAAGGAAGTGATGAGCCTTTACCATTTTGTTTTACTCTTAAACTAGCTTTTATCCTCCTACTAATTCCCCTTCCCCTTTAGGGTCCATTAATGAGGTTTTATTACCATCCTCCTTGCTGACAATCACTCCCACAATCCATACTTCATTTTCCTAAAAAAGTTCCTATTTTGAAATTTCCCCTAATGATAGTAAATGTATGTCATGTGAAGAACCATAAAAACCTACTGATTATTCCTATAAAGAATCTTATTTTTGATTAATAATATGCTATCTACTTCATAACACAAAGGGATACTAAAAATTCAGTGTCGATTCCTCTCTCTTAAAATTTGAACTGTTCCTCAGGCTAGTCCCATAAATTATTCCACAGTCATCTACCCGGCAAAAGCATTCAGTTATGTGAATTGAATGCACTCTCATTTTCGACAATGGTCTCAAAGATCAAGCACTTATTTTAAAACATTTTATTTCGTAATCCTCTGAAACTCCATTTATCCATTTATTAATACTCACCACAGGGCTATAGAAAGGAAGAAGATTTTGAAATGCACAGGAACACTTCTGCTTGCTTAAATGGCCCTCCTTTAGTCCCTTAGCCACAGTGTCCTAAAACAAAACAAAACAACATGAAACAAAACACAACATCTAATGTCAAGAAAGGAATTTTTAAAGCTCTCTCTGGTGAATAAATACAAATCAGTATATACAATTCCTTACTGATCCTGATACTGATACTGATACCGGCATTTCAAATGTCCCAAACTGAACCCCGTGTCAGTCCTCCTTGTGCAGCCCAAACACGCACTCCACTGCAGTCCTTATTTTAGTGAAGGGCACCACCACCCACCCCATTGCACAAACCCAAACTTGGGATACAGCCAAGATTTTCTCTCCTCCTCTGCTGCTGACCCCTGCCCCCCAGTGTTTAATTCCGCTCTTCTAAATCTCTCTCATCCACCCTTCCTCTCCATTCACACTTCCGTTGTTTAGGCTCTCATTATTTTTCAGGTTATTCTTTTTTTTAAAGATTTTTATTGGGGAGTTGGGGGATGGGAACAGTGCTGGGAATTGGGGGAAGGGGAACAGACAAGTTGCTGTCTTTTTTGTTCTTCAGTCTAGTTGTGGAGGACGTTGCTTCACTGGCCCAAGTTGGCACCATCATTGCGCTCTTCCTGGGCGAGGCAG